TACTGGTGTCGTGTGTCGTATAGGGACTTGTGTCGTGTAGGGACTTGTGTCGTGTGTCGTATAGGGACTTGTGTCGTATAGGGACTTGTGTCGTGTAGGTACTGGTGTCGTGTAGGTACTGGTGTCGTGTAGGGTGTCGTGTAGGCACTGGTGTCGTGTAGGTACTGGTGTCGTGTCGTGTAGGTACTGGTGTCGTGTAGGTACTGGTGTCGTGTAGGTACTGGTGTCGTATAGGTACTGGTGTCGTGTAGGTACTGGTGTCGTGTAGGTACTGGTGTCGTGTCGGTACTGGTGTCGTGTAGGTACTGGTGTCGTGTAGGGTGTCGTGTAGGGTGTCGTGTAGGTACTGGTGTCGTGTAGGTACTGGTGTCGTGTAGGTACTGGTGTCGTGTAGGTACTGGTGTCGTGTAGGTACTGGTGTCGTGTAGGTACTGGTGTCGTGTAGGTACTGGTGTCGTGTAGGTACTGGTGTCGTGTAGGTACTGGTGTCGTGTAGGTACTGGTGTCGTGTAGGTACTGGTGTCGTGTAGGTACTGGTGTCGTGTAGGTACTGGTGTAGTGAAGTCGTGCCTTTAGCTAATCAGATTAAAGTTGATAGTTTACAATAAATGGTTGTCACTGAATGGTTGTCGCTAAATAGTTGGTCTCACCGGATGGTTGTCACTAGATGGTTGGTCTGAACGGATGGTTGTCACCTGATGGTTTTCACTAGATGGTTGGTCTCTAGATGGTTGCCACGTGGTAGTTGGTCTCTAGATGGTTGTCACCAGGTGGTTGTCACCAGATGGTTGTCACGTGGTGGTTGGTCTCTAGATGGTTGTCACTAGACTGTTGATCTCACCTGATGGTTGTCACCAGATGGTTGTCACGTGGTGGTTGGTCTCTAGATGGTTGTCACCTGATGGTTGTCACCAGATGGTTGTCACGTGGTGGTTGGTCTCTAGATGGTTGTCACTAGACTGTTGATCTCACCTGATGGTTGTCACCAGATGGTTGTCACGTGGTGGTTGGTCTCTAGATGGTTGTCACCTCCTGTAAGTTTCCCAGACATCCAGGTGTGAGAGCCGCCATGTGTGATGACGTCAGACATTGAAGCTCAGCCGCCATCATGATCGGGGAGATAACTCCTCAATTATTGACCCCCATCTCTTGATTTGATTGTCGCCTCCTACCCCCACCCCCTCCACACCCAAACTTTTGTTTAAAGCCTGCGTTAGAAGAAAAATAGATTTAATTTAATTTGATTTGATTTGTGTGTAAATGACGCTCCTGTGTAGATCTACTATAAAAACAAAGCGGATTCCCAGCGTGAATTTACCTGCACTCACATTCACAAATTTGATGTTTTAAAAATCTGATGTTTTAAAATCTGATTATTGCCGTACACCGTGCCAGAATATTTTCACCTGCATGTGTGCTGAGCTGACTGTATACGACCCGACCATACAGCCCTACAGACCCGACCCGCCCCACCGCGCCAACTGCTGTATGTATCACTTGCAGGTTTCTCTCCTCGACCAAAACAACGGCCCTATTTCCCCTGGGATATTATTTTCTTGCAGCTCAAAGACACCCAGCACCGCCCGGTCTTTTACCCTACTTAGCATACCCTTTGTGTCGTCTGCTAATGGAGATAGATAACTCCCTCCCCACACACCCCCTTCAAAAACAGCCCTACCGTACCCTTATCTTCTGTGTATGTTCATATTGATTTGGTCTGCATCTGATCTTGCTGCCCAGTCTAAACGCAATGCACGAAAACCGGATATTCAAGTCACGAGGTGAATAGAGAAAACGTCCTTAACCTCAATGTGTTGTATATCAACCAACATTTCTACGACACGGTCAACACATCGAAACAATCCTCCTGTAGTTTAAAACACACACACACACACACACTCACACACACATACATACACATTTAGAAGCTATTCGAATTTTCTTTTACAACTTTTTCAAAAAGAAAAGATTCCGTTTTTCCATTTGAATGTACATGTCAAGTCAATTTGGCATTTGATTTGTCACAATTATGTGCGTGTCTGTCCAATTGGTGTTACAATTGTAAACTTAATGCACTGGCGTTGGTCAGTTATGTTAACTTAATGCACTGGCGTTGGTCAGTTAAGAAATGTAAACTTAATGCACTAGCGTTGGTCAGACGTTTCTTGCCTCTCTGTTGGTCTGTTATACCAAAAACGTGATCTCACGACCATTCCTGAAATCGAAATAGCGAGTTAAAGGTTCACAATCTCCAATAATTGAGATTCCTATAACGGTAAGTAAAATCCTAAGACGTAAACCATATCGCAGCCCTACCAAACTTTTGTTTTCGTGTGGTCAGGGGAAATCTTTATTTTGTATTTGTCCGCTTTTAATTTGTAATGTAATATCGTGTCTGCTATTTTTTCACTAGACAATAACAAAAGTAACGCCGGGAAACAAATTAGCTGGCTGTCAGCCTACAAATGGAAAACTCATCAACATCAGGGATGTCGTTAGACGTTGAATTTTTTGTTCAAGTTGTTTTCTAGACTTGTTGCTGTAATTTGACTAGACTGGCTAACTTTTGTCAACAGTAGTGAGACTGATCACTGGCTACCTCTGGCCAACAGAAAGGTGGTGACCTCTTGTGGCCTAGCTACCTCCGGTCACAAGACACACATAAACTACCGTCTACCCTGGCCATCTAATATGTAATGACCGCTGTCGATCAGTTTAATAATGTCCGACTTGTTGAATAATTTCCCCATTTATCCGCTCCCGTAGGACGAGTTGTCCGGTCTCAGGAGCAGAACAATTCTGTCTGAGAAATATTTGGCCGTCTGCTTCTTTTTTTTTTTTTTTTTTTTTTTTTTTTTTGGCCGCTTGGTCTGTCTGTCTTTTTTACATTTTAAAGAATTTTTATTGTCTGGCCATTTTTGTGCCTTTAAACTTTTTTTCCTCTGTCGTTTTTGTTTTCTTTTAAACCTTGTCTGTGCATTTTGAGTTGTTTTTTTTTAAATTTTGTTTCTTTTCCTGTTTTTGTGTCGCTTCTTTTTTTAAATATTGAAAACACACCCAGGCCTAGCTCCAAACCAGTCGTGTTTTTTAAACAAAACTCTGCTATAAGTTAAATATAATTACCATACTCTGCTATCGGTGAAACCTAAACTACTTCTCTTTCTCTGTTCTGTCGGGGCTTTCAATTTTGAAAAAAAAAATCGTGCAAACAACGATATTGTACCGGTAATATTTGCCGATCGCTTGTTTCACTAAACACAAACTAAACCAACGTGTATACAATTCTCTGATCAGCTTCATAAAACTCCTAACCCTGAAACTGTTGAAACGGTCAGGCTCCAACTCCCCCTCCCCCCCCCCCCTTGGCTACTGGTGTTTGTTTTTGTTTATCATCAAGCTGTAACAGAATTAAACTTAGCATCTTCTATGAACAGGATGGGTTACCTACTCTAAGCTTTTAAAAAAAAATTGTCCTTTCAAAAAAAAAAACTACTTAAAGAATTGAAAAAAAGTTGTTCTTTTTCCTATTTTTTTTCTTTTTTTACTTTCTAATTTAAAAAAGTGTAGCAACTGATGGCATGAACGACCTCGGGGTTTAAACTAGTGTTTAATGAATTATTGATGCTGCTCCGGCGTACAGTTGATTCAATATCCGGTTGTCTTTGTGCGGTAGGCCTGCGCGCGTCAATTGAAAACTGGGAGTCTCGCAATGCGAGACGTGTAGTTCCGTGTCTCGCGACTTCTATAATTACAGTGAGCAGCTCGCGTTGTGTTGTGGGTAGACTTGTAAGGAAATAGAGCTGTGAAGTCAGTGTCGTGAGGTCCAATAGCAGCTCATATAGCAGTAATTGATGGCTCAGTTTTTATGTAGCCAATATGGGGGTAGCGGGTAGCAAACAGCTTAAGTTGTCGTGTTTCATAGCGGAGTTGTCGTGTTTAGTGGAGTTGACGTATTTCAGTGGAGTTGACGTGTGCAATGTAAACAAATTTCTCCTGTGATATTTCGTGAGTGCTAAATTTTTTCTTGTAGTTAAATGATATGCTGATGCGAATTTAAATAATTCGAGTTATGGTATATTGCTGTATAAAGTAATTACACTGTGTGATGCTTTTTATCATAAGTGTTTTACGATGTGATGTTTTGATATTTTTATACGAATTTAAGAACGTGATGTAATATTTTATTATAAGAATAACATCTCCAAGATTGTTCTAGACTTATAGCTTCACGATTAATAAACTGATTGCTAAGTTACATTAGAGTTTTAGCTTGAAGATTTCCGTCTAGCCGATACTTCTTACACGTGCGTCACGTAAAGGATTAGGGTTCGAGTCCAACAGAGTGGAGCTTTGTTTTCATAATCCAGCCCTGCTTACATCGCGTCTCAATTCTCATTTTACTTAGTGGATGTGGCGGGTATCGGGCTGTGGGGGTGGGGGAGTCTGGGTAGATGAAATGAGACGGTAACATCATAGGGTGGGGTGGGGAGTCTGGGTAGATGAAATGAGACGATAACATCATAGGGTGAAGTAGGGCCGAGGTCTGGTTAGGGGCGAGGTATTGGGTAGGGGCAGGTGGGGGGGGGGGGGTACAGCTTGATGCCAGGGGCTACTGTAGACATCGGAAGACGACGCCAGTGCTGTCGTATTTAACCGTCCGCAGTTAGGAATCTTGCAGGTTTTGTACAGGTTTAGTTCAGGTTTTGTGCAGGTATATTTGAAGTTTAGTGCATGTTACTTCAGGGTTACTTCTGATATTTCTTGTGAATCGTGATACTTATCTCAACTTTGTTTGAATTAGAAAGTGTCAGCACTTGTTGTTCCATACATTGGAACTGAGGTAGAGACAACAAACTGTAGCACATTGTTAGCAGGGTCAAATTTTCGAGCATATTTATTGGAAGACTCGACCCTTGACCGTGATATAGGTTTAAATAACTGGTAGCGTGGATGAAATTTTTGACGTGATTCGTGTGGTGAAGTAGCTAGACACATCGACCATGTTGCCCAGACCAAAAGCTGTCCTGCTGTTGTCGAGAGCTGTCCTGCTGTTATCGCTGCTGTCGGCTGTCGTGTCCACGACTGGTGACCGGAGACACAAACACAAGAAACGTCACGACAAGGAGAGGCTTGTCGGGTTGCCAAGGTAACGGGAACACTTTTTTCTCCATTTTGTAAAGTCTAGAAATTTTTTTTGTATCCTCTTGAGCCGAGTAAGTGTAAGCTTCACGACATTGAGTAGATTTTATAGCCACGTGATAGGGCATTAACCAACAGAATAAGATCTACTTGACCCCAACGTAAAAGGTTAAACTATCTCTTGAGTTGATCTAAAACACCTAACCAAAACCTGAATCCAAACTAAACTGCCAACTATTTGAACTCTCCATCCGTACAGACGAACCTACCCAATATAAAAATCAAATTTTTACCCTGATGAACAGAGAACTTGAACCTTCAAATTCTTACACTGACTGGTGCCTCAAGTTTTCTTTGGGGCATGTTCGGGTGTATTGCTTAAGTTTCTTGAGTCGACCCACCCCAGCGACTACAACTACCACACCAACGAGCGCACAAACCAGTACCAACATTCAATATTTATCATCTCAGTTTTCAACAAATTGATTTTTTTCCTAACACAAACATCAGACAGACCACATGGAGCTTCGTCTGCTATTATTGTTTACATTTTTTTTGGGGGGAGGGGGGGGGGGGGGCTTTGTTTTTAAATTTATTTTATTTTCAAATATTTCTCGAAGGCCTGTTCATGAAAAATTCAGTTTTATTTTTATCACCGTCTGCCACATTCTAAAGAAAACAATGACATCACCTTAAGCAAAACTATGACACAATGACCCCCACCCCTCCTCCCGTGCTGTTTAACAGATGCATTAACAGACGCCCTAACGCCCCCTCCCCACACCCATCATTTACCTAGTTGGATGATCCATCAAAACTAGACCTTCCATCCATTGCTGCTTCATCTGATGGTACGCTGTTAAGGCTGCAGTGGCTGGTTGGAAGTCAAGACTGACATCTAGTGAGCTAAAACCTTGAGCTAAAACCTTGAGCTAAAACCTTGAGCTAAAAACTTGAGCTAAAAACTCAACAAAAAATATTGTGTGTGATGGCTGGACAGTGTCAGTGATGTCATCAGCGACACGCCCCTCGTCCTTGGCCCTGCCCCCCACCCAGCGGCTCCACATGCTGATACCATCCGGTTATTTCCGTCCCACTGGGCTCAGGGAGGGGAGCCCGGAGCCCGGTGACTGACGTCATCAGTGCAAGATCTCGGACGTGTCTGACTAACGTCCTCAACGTTGGCGTGGACGTGTTTGTCTCATAGCTCTGCCCTCTCTATCTATCTCTGTCTCACTCTCTGTCTGTCTCACAGCTCTACTCTCTCCCTCTAACTCACTCTGTCTCTCTCCCCCTCTCTCTCTTTCTCTCCCTCTCTTTGTCTCTCCAGCTAAGTGTAACACCGTGGTCCGCCATATTTGTAACCTTGACCCCACGATCTGAATGTGCTCTCAGGACAACACACGAAGTCAGTTTGACACGGACACGTTCATGACCCAACACATAACACAACGCAAGACAAAAACACAAGGACACTGAAACACGACATCAACCAGAGCCCCAACACGATACAGTTTCCTGTCTACTTGCCCCAACTTGACAGGTATCTTCAGAGTTCTCTGTCCTGCTGCAGTATGGGCCACCAACTACAGCTCTCTAGAGTTCTCTCTCCTACTGGAGTTTGGGCCACCAACTACAGCTCTCCAGAGTTCTCTGTCCTGCTGGAGTATGGGCCACCAACTACAGCGAGTTCTCTGTCCTGCTGGAGTATGGGCCACCAACTACAGCTCTCCAGAGTTCTCTGTCCTGCCGGAGTATGGGCCACCAACTACAGCTCTCCAGTTCTCTGTCCTGCTGGAGTATGGGCCACCAAATACAGCTCTCCAGAGTTCTCTGTCCTGCTGGAGTATGAGCCACCAAATACAGCTCTCCAGAGTTCTCTGTCCTGCTGGAGTATAGTCCATCCGTCCCCGCTGATTAACTTTTTACCCATTTTGATGGTCTCTGCCCAACAAAGCATTTCTTTTTCCGCAACTTTTTTTCCCCATTGTTTTCTATAAATCCCCAGCGTAAAGACATCGATAAATAAAATAAACCACCAGTACAAAGCACCGATAACGTGATCGTTGTTGTTAAACATCGCAGATAAAAGTGTTAATTTAGAAGTTATTGAGCACAAAGCAAGACACGCATACATATTTTACGGAGTTGAAACCTAATTTCCTTTGTCCATAGAGCGCTCCAACGTTTTTTATAGGCGCCATATTGGTCTCACGTTTTCGTTTGGTTTGTTCTGCTGCCCCCGACAGTCAGACTTTAACAACCAACATTTGTGTTTACTGTTAGTATGGAATGACGAATGAACAGCCATACCATGTGTGTTCCGCTCCCCACCTATACTCCCCCCACCCGACGTACCCCCTAGTGACGCCAACAAACGTGAAGGTCCTACAGGCATTAAACCAAGTTATGAAAAACTTAAACCTTGCTGTCCACTGACCACCCAACTGGAACTGGATCTAAAAGCATCAAGACAATACAATCAACTATCGGCAGACATCAAGTAAACATCAATAATCAAGTACTGTGTCACACCGCCCTAACACCGCTCAACATGCCGGGTTTTTTCACACTTTACTCAAACACTTGCCAGTTTTTCACTGTACTTTGACCACTTGCCAGTTTTACACTGTACTTTGACCACTTGCCAGCTTCCCTCCCCGTGACAAAACCTGGCATTAGAATTCCCTTGTGGCGACATCTCGATAAGTGGTACCAGTCACGCTTGATTAGTCTAGCGTGACCAACTTAAGTCCAGTTTGTGTGTAGTTAATTAGCGAGAGACCAACTTGCTGGCTAATTGCTACATTTCTCTACCAACACAAAACATTACTGACAGACTAACCTCCATTGAACAAATATCCAGTATTTCTTACAAACTTTTTTTTTGGGGGGGGGGGGAGGGGGGGACTAAGGAAGAAACTGCAAATATCTTAAACTCATTATTGGATACTAAAAACGTCTTACGTTTTAACTTTCCTTACTTGACCGGGCTGCTAAATGTTTGATCCACTTTAGGGTACACCTAAAGTACCGCTGTCCTGGTTTTCGTAGATCTGGTGTGGGGAGGTGTGGGGAGGCCATATTGTACCTGTTAATTAACTACACCTGTTGTCTCTGGTAATCATTAAAACAGCACAACTGATTATGTCATTAGGATAATTAACCGTCAGAAAAAAACTGCATTTCTCGACTTAACGGTATTACCTTCCACTATTGATGCTGGACATTAAGACAATGACATCAAAGATTGGCCTAAAACATGACATCTGACATGAAGACAATGACATCAAACGTTGGCCTAAAACATGACATCTGACATTAAGACAATGACATCAAACCTTAGTCTAAAACATGACATCTGACATTAAGACAATGACATCAAACCTTGGTCTAAAACATGACATCTGACATTAAGACAATGACATCAAACCTTGGTCTAAAACATGACATCTGACATTAAGACAATGACATCCAACGTTGGCCTAAAACATGACATCTGAAATTAAGACAATGACATCAAACGTTGGTCTAAAACATGACATCTGACATTAAGACAATGACATCAAACATTGGCCTAAAACATGACATCTGACATTAAGACAATGACATCAAACCTTGGTCTAAAACATGACATCTGACATTAAGACAATGACATCAAACGTTGGCCGAAAACATGACATCTGACATTAAGACAATGACATCAAACCTTGGTCTAAAACATGACATCTGACATTAAGACAATGACATCAATCCTTGGTCTAAAACATGACATCTGACATTAAGACAATGACATCAAACGTTGGCCTAAAACATGACATCTGACATTAAGACAATGACATCAAACATTGGCCTAAAACATGACATCTGACCTTAAGACAATGACATCAAACGTTGGCCTAAAAGATGACATCTGACATTAAGACAATGACATCAAACGTTGGCCTAAAAGATGACATCTGTCAGTTAGACAATGACATCAAACGTTGGCCTAAAACATGACATCTGACATTAAGACAATGACATCAAACGTTGGCCTAAAACATGACATCTGACATTAAGACAATGACATCAAACGTTGACCTAAAAGATGACATTTGTCAGTTAGACAATGACATCAAACGTTGGCCTAAAACATGACACCTGAAATAGAGACTATATCAAATAAATCTGCGATCTTTATACTCAGTATATCAGGTAAATCTGCGACCTTTGAACTCAGTATATCATGTAAATCTGCGATCTTTATACTCAGTATATCAGCTAAATCTGCGACCTTTGAACTCAGTATATCAGCTAAAGCTGCGACCTTTGAACTCAGTATATCAGCTAAAACTTCGACATTTGAACATAAGATATATCAGCTAAAATACTGACAATATAGATCTAACGCCGCATATAAAGTACTTGCAGAACACAGCTTGTTCAAGCACACGTTTATTGTGTGATGTGGTAGGGTAGACAGACAGACAGACAGACAGACAGACATCTTCTGATAGAATATGACATCTGGAACCGTGCTATGGTAGGGTAGACAGACAGACAGACAGACAGACAGACAGACAGACAGACAGACAGACAGACAGAAATCTTCTGATAGAATATGACATCTGGAACCGTGCTAGGGTAGACAGACAGACAGACAGACAGACAGACAGACAGACAGACAGACAGACAGACAGACAGACAGACGTCTTCTGATAGAATATGACATCTGGAACCGTGCTAGAGATGAAACAGACGATACCTGGCTGTAGCCTTCACACGACATAGGCTTCAGACGTTTAACAATTGTGGGATAACGTCACTAGACAGTTGTGTGTGGGTGTTTGTGTGTTTTTATGTGTTCGTGTATGTGTTG